AAATTTCGATTTTTTGTAAGAGGTAATTATGCAGATTGTTTCATGTCCGTTTTTAGTCAGTTGAACTTTGAACACCATTAGGTAGTTTTTCTTTTCTTCTCTTTGTGTTCTTCAATTTTTTATAACCAACGGTCACTGTTGATATCCTTCTTCATCTGAGCTCTTTTCAGTTTCACGGTCTGTTTTTATTTGAAAAATTTCTTGAGAAACTTGTCATTGAAAGCTGTATGCATCAAACGAACAAGCAACGAACGGAAAAGAAGAAAAAAAAGGTTCTTGAAATAACCACACAATGGGGGATAACATTCACGTACGTATTTATTTATTTTTCCATTTCTGCTCATATCATTTTAAACGAACAGTTTTTTCCGCCAAAACAACTTTGGCGAATGTGCTACTTGGGTATGTTCAGAAGAGCGGTAAATGTAACATTTTGACACTTGTTGATGTCATAACCTCACATTTTAGTGTGAAGTAATTTCGCTGAAATAATGTTTACAAACAATTCGTAGGTGACTTGTATACATTTTTTTTTATATGTTTCGTTGTAAACTATTGGTTCATTTTGGTCGAATCGGTTTTAAATGTGAAAATTCAGTTGTAAATGTACGAAATTATTGTCCAGCATCGGGGGCAACGATGAAATATTTAAATGTTGCAGAGAAAAATGATGCGGCCAAATCAATTGCTGCACTGCTGTCAAACGGCAATTCACGCCGCACGGAGGGTTTATCACCATACAACAAATTGTATTCATTCCAAATCAATTTCAAAGGCCAGCAAACAGACATGGTAATGACCTCAGTGTCGGGCCATTTGCTAACACATGGTTTCATCGATGCTTACAAACAATGGCAATCCTGTGATCCGATCAGTTTATTCGATGCACCAGTCGTGAAATATTGCCCAGATAACTATATAAAAATCAAACAGACGATAGAACGAGAGGTACGCATTATTTTATTCGATTGGACAATTTTTTTTTTTTTGGTTATTCGAGAATGAAATTTCAGGTTCGAGGTTGTGATGGGCTCATCATATGGACAGATTGCGATCGAGAAGGTGAAAACATTGGGTATGAAATCATTGATGTTTGCCGTGCATTGAAGCCATATATCAAAGTGTATCGTGCACGATTCTCAGAAATTACATCACAAGCTGTCCATCGTGCATTAAACAATGTTTGTGAGCCGGATCTGCGACAGAGTCAAGCTGTTGACGTACGATCTGAGCTAGATTTGAGAATCGGTGCCGCTTTTACACGATTTCAAACGCTGAGATATCAAAAAGTCTTTCCTGTACAAGTTGAAGGTCTTGTCAGCTACGGTAGTTGTCAGATTCCTACATTGGGATTTGTTGCGCGTCGCTTCAACGACATCGAACAGTTTATTCCGAAGAAATTTTGGAAGTTGAAATGTATGTTTGCATTCATTAACAATTATGATTGTTTATTTACTATTGAAAGTTCCAATATCCCAAATTAAAAATGTCTTCAATTCCAGTGACACACACCTTGAATGACCTAACCGTGGAATTCAATTGGGATCGTCATCGTTTGTTTGACAAAAACAGCTGTGAAGCATTTTTAATGATTTGCCAAGCGGAACCAACAGCAAAAGTCGTCAATGTAATGCAAAAGCCGAAAAATAAATGGCGGCCACAAGCCATGGATACAATTGAATTGGAAAAGCTTGGCTCACGTAAACTCAAGCTGTCCGCAAAAGAAACAATGACAATTGCTGAGGTGATTTTTAATATCTTCTAGAAATATATCTGCTCCTTTATCTTTAAATTTATTTTTCTGAATTGAAATTTTAGAAACTATACAGCAATGGTATCATCAGTTATCCAAGAACAGAAACAAACATGTATTCATCGGAAATTGATTTGAAGTAAGATTTTTTAATAACATTCAATAAGCCTTCAATTAGTGGTTCGCATGAAAATGAACATGAAATTAAAATTATTCAACAGAAAACTGGTGAACAACCACTTGAACCATCCAGATTGGGGACAATTCGCACAACGAGTGATGGATTGGGGTCCACATCCGCGAAATGGCAACAAATCAGATCAGGCGCATCCACCGATTCATCCATTGAAATTGACAACGGGTATGATATGCGTCATCAATTCATTATTCTCGGGTTTTTTTTCGCATCATTCAATGTCATTTTGCTTTTTGACAGATTTGCAAGGAAACGAAAAGCGCGTTTATGAATTGATTTGCCGTCATTTTTTAGCCTGTGTTAGCAAAGATGCAACCGGTTCGGAAACCACTGTAAATGTCGTCGTTGCTGATGAACAATTCACAGCGACTGGTTTGTGCATTTATGAGAGAAACTATCTCGATGTGTACATTTATGAGAAATGGAATTCGAAAGAGATTCACAACTACCAAATCGGAAACACATTTCAACCAACCGAATTGTCAATGCCCGAAGGTTCAACTTCGCCGCCATCTCTACTCACCGAAGCTGATCTGATTGCATTGATGGATAAAAATGGAATTGGCACGGATGCTACACACGCTGAACATATCAACACGATCAAGACACGAGGTAAGCCCAAGGAAATTTATTTTTAATTCCAATATATGCCATTCATTTTATATCATTTGTTTTGTTCAGGTTACATTGGTGAAATCGAAAATGGATACTTAGTGCCAGGAACACTTGGAATGGGTCTGGTTGAAGGTTATGATTCAGTGAATTTGCCACTAGCATATCCAGAATTACGTGCAGAGCTTGAACGTGATTTAAAGTTGATTTGCACCGGTAATCGCAACCCAACAGAAGTGCTAAGAGAGCAAATCGAAAAGTACAAAGAAGTGTACAGAGTCATAACAGCCCGTATTGAAGCGATAGATGCTTCACTAGCTTCAAGATTACAAGCAGTGCCTGAAGCGCCGCCAGCGCCAAGTGCATCGCTGCCAACACTTGAGCCAATTTTCAAGTGTCCGAAATGCAACAAATATCACATGTGTTTGCGACAAAAGAGAGACAACAATGGATTTTTCTTAACCTGCCTGGGAAAGCCAGAGTGTACACACGTTATTTGGCTTGCAGATATTATCAAAGAAATCAAAGTCCATGAAAATCAATGCAACAAGTGCCGAAATGGTAACAAAAATGTCGTAATCAAATTTAAAACCAACAATATGCTGGCAATGCTCAATGCATCACTGATCAACGATGACGATCGAACGTATGAGAGCTGCATTTTATGCGACCACAGCTTACGCGTCATATTGGACATAAATGCAATGAGTCTACGCGGAGATTCACCATCAAATCGAAGTCAGACCGTAAACAGAGCGATACCAACACAGAATGCACCACGTGCCAATCCAGGTGGTAGCCAACGGCCACAAAATGATAGACCACCATATAATCGTCCACCGAACCCAAATTCGAATCAGTCATTCAGAAACGCTGGAAATACGGGCAACTCTGGAAATGTCAAATGTTCGGGATGTAATCAACCGGCAACAAAGTAAGAGATTAAATAACATTTAAATTTGTCTCTTCTATTTAAAATGAATAATTCACATCTGAATATTTTAAATGCATTTACAATAGGTTGACTGTGAAAAAAGATGGACCAAACAAAGGAAGAGAGTTTTACAAATGTCCAAAGCAACCACCTTGCAATTTCTTCGAGTGGGCGGATGCATCGGCGCAAAATACTTCATACGGTGGTGGACCACCACCACCACGACCAGGAGGTGGTGCTTCAACATCTGGAAGCAATTATCAAAATCCATCACGCAACTATCGAAACGATGCCAACGATAATGCCCAACGTAAGGACAAAATACTTTCAATTTTTGTTCATATCACATCATTTTTGATGAAAGACATTAGGTTAATATTTTCATTTCATTTTTTTTTTTATTTCAGCTCGGAAACGTCGATGTGGGAACTGTAAGCAGGAGGGACACATACGAACTAAGTGCCCAAGGCTAAATTTATAATAATTTCAACAGAAATCGAAATTGAATCGATTCCAATCAACATCAATCAATACTCTTCAAAACAAACAGTCATTTTTTCTCTCTTCATAATATTGTATACTGTAAATATTCGCAAATATTGAAAGAATCGTTCAAAGTGAACTCCAATACAATTTAATTGATTGTCAAGTATTATTTTTTCGATAATAAAATACTAGATAAAATATCGTATTTTTTTTTTTAAATATAAAATGTGTTTGAATTTGTAAACAAAATCATGCAACGCCATCGAACTGAGTCCACTATTGCGGTGGTTTCGAGAACTAAGTTGACAGCGTGTCATTGCCATACATTCAATACAATGAAACATCTGTCCTATTCAACATACAGTATTCTATCGCAAACCTCAGTAGAAATGTCAACGTAAAACAAATCCATAGTAAAAAAAAAGAAGTGGTTCGTCGTCGATAGAGAAATCAGAATAGATAAATCGGGTGGTGAAAATGATTCAGCATCCGCAATAAATGAATCATCTGAAGGATTTGGAACGAATCTTAAAATCTAATTGTAACATAATTTGAAATTCAATCTAGTGAATAGAAGCATTAAGATGCATTTTAAGGTCAGTATACTCGGGCAGCAAAGCATTTACGTAGCTGTTTATGTTGTTTGTTCAGATTGCGCAGATTTTGCGTGTATTTGAGTTGGAATTATGTTTATCGAGACTAAATTTGGGTTTCTTTTTTTCCATTTTTATTTTATTTGCACAGTTAATTGTGTTGTCATTATTTTGCATTTGTCAAAATGTAAATAAGGTGGTCTCGTTTTATGTACCAGGAGTTGCTCCCGTTGAGTTCGTCAAGGGACAACCGATTATGGTAAAAGCGGTCAAAATGACGAGCACACGAACGCAGCTGCCATATGAATACTATTCGTTACATTTTTGTCTACCGAAAAACGGCACAATCATTTACAAATCGGAAAATTTGGGTGAGGTACTACGTGGCGATCGTATTGTAAATACTCCCTATGATCTGCGAATGGCCGAAAATATTAACTGCAAATTACTATGCAATCGAAAAGATCAGCCACTGAATTGGAATCATGAACAGTCCAGCAAAGTGTCGGAACGTATTCAACACGAATACTATGTGCATTTGTATGTTTGATTTGTGACCTACCCTAATGGTTTGTATACTCACAAGTTAATGCCATGTTTTTACGTGAATATTTCCTTTTAGATTGGTTGACAATTTGCCTGTTGCGACACGTGTCCTCAATCCCGAGACGAAAGAGCTACAATTTGAACACGGCTATCGACTTGGGCAAGTTGTTAAAGACAACACATACATCAATAATCACTTGAAATTCATTCTATCTTATCATATGCACACAAAGTAAGTGTTTCAAGTTTAAATCTAAATTCGGTATTCCGGTGGCGATATGATAAAAAATATTGTTTTCCCCGTTTCCGCACAGAGATAAATTTCGAGTGGTTGGTTTCGAGGTAGAACCAATGTCGGTTTCAATGAGTGATATCAAATTTGAGGGTGATACCTGCAACTTCCCAGACACACCAAAGTCACAAATCGTAAGCGTCGACGTTTTCAACATTCGAACCACGGAACAATTGATTAATCATATTGAATCATTTTAGGTGGTTCCTGATGCAAATAACCAACTTTATTTCACGTATTCGGTCGAATGGAAGGAAAGTGCTGTAAGCTGGGCGTCTCGATGGGATACATACTTGGCAATGAGCGATGTACAAATCCACTGGTTCAGCATAATTAACTCGTTGGTCGTTGTGTTTTTCTTGTCGGGCATTTTGACAATGATCATGATACGAACGTTACGCAGAGATATCGCCCGGTACAACACTGACGACAACTATGAAGATACGCTTGAAGAAACGGGATGGAAATTAGTACATGGCGATGTATTTCGACCACCAAAACATCCAAGGTAAAGCACCAATACTCTCTTTATCTACTTTAATCCTCACTATTATCATAAATAGTAGTAAAAAGAAAATAGTATTATGATACACTGACAAAAATGTATGTTTATTCCATAGACTGTTTGCGGCCGTTGTTGGAAGTGGCATGCAGATTTTCTTCATGGCTTTGATTACAATATGTAAGTTTTTCCCTTCGTTTAGTCAGAAATTGATTGATCAATATGCAAAAGTAACATGATTTTATTGATGTTTTCAGTTGTTGCCATGTTGGGTATGCTATCGCCAGCCTCACGAGGAGCTCTAATGACATCGGCAATCTTTTTGTATGTAATCATGGGCTTGATTGCCGGATACTTTTCCGCTCGATTATACAAAACAATGAAGGGTCGCGAATGGAAACGCAGCGCATTTTTGACCGCAACACTTTATCCAGGCATTGTTTTTGGAACGTGTTTCTTCTTGAATTTCTTCATTTGGGACAAACATTCAAGTGGTGCTGTTCCATTTAGCACAATGATTTCGTTGCTGTGTTTGTGGTTTGGAATATCAGTGCCATTGGTTTATTTGGGCTATTACTTCGGATACCGTAAACACCCGTATCAACATCCAGGTAAGAAAAATGAAATCAATTATGACTCATCTCACCTTGACATTTAATAAAATTATGTTTCTTATAAATCAAACAACCAGTGAGGACGAATATGATTCCGCGGCAAGTGCCAAAGCAACATTGGTATATGAATTTACCTCTATGGTGAGTGTTAACCTTCATTTGGAGTACTTTCAATGTTGATTTATTTTGCTGCGATTTCATCAATTTCCATCGATGTTTTTTATTCGAATTTTGCCCGTTTTTAGTTTGCTGATGGCTGGTATCTTACCATTTGGAGCTGTTTTTATTGAATTGTTTTTCGTGTTTACGGCCATTTGGCAAAATCAATTCTACTATCTCTTTGGATTCCTTTTCTTGGTATTTTGCATTTTGGTTGTGAGCTGCGGACAAATAAGTATAGTTATGACATACTTCCAATTATGTGGAGAGGTAAGTATTACTACTGCACTCTTTCTTTACTTTGACTTTCAATTGTAAGACACTGACAAAAATGTATGTTTATTCCATAGGACTATCGTTGGTGGTGGCGAAGTTTCATCATTTCTGGCGGATCATCTGTTTATATTTTCCTGTATAGCATATTCTATTTCTTTACAAAATTGTCCATCACGGAATTCATACCGACGCTACTGTATTTGGGCTATACGGGTAAGAAAAAATTAAATCAAATATGATACGCTTACTATGACTTTGTTGCCATTCAATATACTCATGTTTCTTTTAAATCAATTGTCAGGTCTTATGGTTCTAACATTCTGGCTATTAACTGGATCGATTGGATTCTTTGCCGCATACAGTTTCATTCGTAAAATTTACGGAGCAGTTAAAATCGATTAAATCTATTTATACACTTACGTTCATCCAAATAGCAAATAATCAGCCAGCAATTGAAGAAAATTTTCACATTCGACGTAAATTTACTTTATTTATCAAAAGGAAATAAAATTTCGACACACACCCTCACTCTCTCATTATTAGCTTAACAGTCTGGTGACTAAAATTTTCTCTCCGTTCTACATAAATGCTGATCACTTTAGTTTAAGGCAAAAAACTACATTTATTTAAGACGTAATACAAATTGATAACGTGTGATTTAAGATGGAACAGTAACAACCGATGATTGAAATTATTGTGACCAATACGATACTGAAATTTCATTTAACCATTCGATTATAACATACAGCGCGTACGCGGTCAAAGAGCGCAAATCTATGTTTTGTCACTCTCATATTTCCAAAACAGCAAAAAGAAAACAATTTCAAATATATTTGTTATGTAAGTAAGTTGAAAGAAACGCAAAGCAAATGGAATTTTTAATAAAGAAATGCGTTGAAAGAAGAAAAAAAAACTGACAAACTAGATCTTGTTTTTCATTTTATTCTTCTCACTATCACTGCGGAAATCTGCTTAATTCACGTATACACCTACAAGATGTATATTTGAGAAAATAAAAACCCCAATTCGTTATTCAATTCTAATTGATTAATATATCATTAAAATTTTATTGGCAATTTGTCACATTTTACATTGATTTTCTTTTCGACTAAATAAGCCGTAGATTTGATTTAACTTCCTACAATCTTGAAATGTTTATACAAACAATTGGTACGCTATATATATATATAATATTTTATGTTGTTGTTGTTGTTTTTCATTTAAATGACGCTTTCGATACGTTTGATATAATTACAATTAATCGTATACAAGAGATATTTTTTTTTTAAATGTGTGACTCCCTCCTTCGGTGTAATATTTGTTTTTTTTTGTAGAAAAAAAAAGAGTTGAAAAAATTACGCAAATCGGTAGAAATATGCGAACGATCTATATAAGAAATACGAAAGAAACTCTCTAACTATCGGCACCGTTTATTCTTTTTCTTCGAACACAAAGTCAATCAAGCGATATTTAACTAATCATCATGGGTAGTTGAGAGGCTCAAGATGTATCAAGTGCATCAGCCACACTTTTTTATTTAAAAATAAAAATTATATAGCTTATATCACAACCAAAGGACAATAATGGAATTCATTTCGTTCATTTTGTTTGTTTTCTTTGTTTTTATACATGAAAATCATTTAATCTTAACATATTTCTAGAAAAAAAAAATCTACTAAATATGCCTTGAAATGCTGCATTACTTTTACATTATTATTTCTTTCCCTCTCTCTCTCTCTTGTTTCTATTTTACAAATACATATCGTATACAAATATTATAAAGTGTGTGTGTTTTGATATCTTCGACGAAGAAATAAGAACAGAAAATGTAAATAAATCCATTATTTTATGCATTAGACATCATTCCTTTCGAGAGATATTTACATGCTAAAAAGAAATACCTATTTAGTTTCTTGTTCGAATAAGCACCAAAAATCATCCAAGTCCTGATCGTTTAACACGAATGGATAGCTAGATCCACAATACAACAAAGTTTAAAGTGAAACCAAGCCCAAAATTTGGCTGGCCTCAATTTGTGTGTGTGTGTGTGTGTGTGTGTGTGTGTGTGTTTGAGTTTACGTTGTCAAAATGGAAAAATGGAAATGCATCGTCTATATTTTCTATATAAATATGATCATCAACCATCAACGTTTAGTGTTTTAGACGTGTGTGCGTGTGCAGGGCATCGCTGGTGTTGTTGGGTTTTACATTCGATTTGCCGATGACTGCTGTTGACATGGATCCACACAGTTGGTGTTCTTTTTCGGGAAATTGTTCCAAAAGATGTTTGGCATTTGCCAAAGCGGAGCCAGTGAGAGCGGAGGAGGTGGAGGTGAATTTGCGGTGGCTCCGGATGATGAGCCGCTAGTTGATGCATTTACCGAGGCATTTGATGCCATTGTGCTTTGTTCAATGTTTTGGCTGGAAGCCGATGTATTTGATTGCGATGGTTGTTGTGATTGGGAAGACACTCCGGCTGCTGCTGCAGCAGCCGCCGCCACGGCCAACGCCGACAAAAGTTTTTTATTCTTTTTGTTGCGTTTCCGTGCTGACGATGTCGTCCCAATAGGCTCTACTCACATTACCTGTGTTTGGTTTTTTTGTGTTTGATTAAATTTGCGAGCTGAGTATTTGTTTGTTTTTTTTTTTTTAAATACCAAAATTCCACACAAAGAGACACACGAACAGAAAAAAAAAAATAGAAAAAAAGAACAAAACAAAATATTCAAATACAAAACAGAAAAAAAAACAAATCATACAATTTTTTTTGGGGGGAACTAACTAAAAACATACCAATAGAATGAAACCATAAAATGATGCCATTCACAATGGCAAACGACAAAAAACTAGACACAACGTTTACCTGTAGAATTTGGCTCGCTTCGAAAGCGGTGCCGGGCAAAAGGATAACCGGTGTCGAAACGTGGCCGGCTTCAACGCAAAGCATATTCGGATATTCGTCATCGCCAAGGTCGCCGATTTCACGGGCTTGATCTGACCACGGGTTCCATATAACTGTTGAATGCAAAATAAATTTTGCATTTGAGTGGTAAATTTCGAAAGACATACAATTTTGATTCTACGGCGTATTACCTGTATCGGGGAAATTGTATTTCTGTAATTTCATTTTTCTGCCAGAAACCACATTAGTTATAATATGCTCTTGTGGTGTGTGCTGATAGATTCGATCAGTCCATTCATTAACTGTGACAACATCTCTACCTTCTTGATAAATGGGCCCGTCGCGAGTCTAAAATTGGCATTTTGATATTAATTTCCGATTGGTGAAAAATCAAAAATTCACTTGATTATGCGCGTGTGTGTGTGTGTCTGGTGTACCTTATCAATGAATGTACATCCATGCAGACCGGTGATTTGGCAACGGCGAACGTCTGGTACTTTCAAATATGTGTGCAACAACAAATTGAATGAAAATGTAACATCTTTGCTCGGACTAATTGCAAGAAATGTTGGAAAAACCAAATAATTATTTTAAAATTGATCAAAATTAAGAAATAAATTAATTTGAAGAGAGAAAAAAAGAAATGGAAACTTACTTGAATACTCCAATGTGAAAATGCAGTTCTTTTTCACGCAAAATTAGTCGATAAGTTATTCGAAATCTACAAAAGGTGAAAAAGAATGATTTTTAATTTTGAATTACTTCATTGTTCTGTAGATAACTTACGGAAAATTCCACATTGATCTGGTGAACTCGCTATCCATAAGAGAAAATAGTGCTTCGATATCGCCATTCTTGAGTTATACCAAAGAGAATTCATTGAGTTTAACAAAATCAAATCAGATCAATTGAAAAATATTTACATGAAGTCGTTCTGGTGCTCTTTCCAATGTCCAGCGAGAGATGCGAGCAAATCCATGTTGAGGTCCAAAGCTGCTCGGTCCAAATTGTGCTATAAATCGGTCGAAATAAAATATTGAGGTAATTTCACTTGAACGAACAAAAATTACTGAAATTTTAATACTTACGAAAAACAAACGGAATACCACCACGGATAGCCTTTTTACCATCAAAAACAGCTAATTTGCTGTAATGAGAAAGAAAAGATAGAGACACTGTGAGTTTACAATATATGAAAATTGAGCATGTTAAGAGTCACAACATTGAAACAATCGTAAAACATATTTATAAGTTTTGAGAATGAAGACGAAACAACAGAAGAAGAAAAAATCGTCGAAATGTAACTGACCAGACGCAAAGAAAAGGATGGATTGTAAAATTGGCGAGCAAAAAGCGGCAATTTCAATGACCTCGACATGCTAAACCAAGAAAATCGGTACTTTTATATTTCAGCAGTGAAAATGGAAAAAAATACACACACACACAGCGAGATAAAAGTGTGTTTGAGAAAAGTTTGCCACGAAACAAAGAGCGAGAAAGATGAAGAAAAGAAATTTGATTATGATAAAGATTCAAAAAAAAACACAGTGCTGCAGTTGCTGCAGTGAGACGCGAAAAAAAGTCTGGATATTAAAAATGGAATGGCAAAAAAGGGGAGTAAATACACAACATTCTTAGTTTGTTGTGTTCGCTAAAGAACGTGTATAATAAGCTAGCTATTTGCAATGCTGGACGCAAAATACACACGCGTCGTGGAGCGAGAGAGCGGGAGCGATAGCCGCAGAAAAAAAGCGACATCGAAATAAAACACGAATAAAAGTTTTTCGTATCCATCGCTTAATGTTCCGTGTCAAAAGTACGTTTGCATTCGATGAATAAAGGCAGAGCATTGTATGTGGTGTTTTCACTGTGCAAACTAGAGAAATATGGAGTAAGCATATCCATATGCACATCGATAGAACGGAATATAGAAATCATGACACATCCGTTTTTGCGAATGTAAACACAAGACTTAAGCGATCATACACAAACACACACATATAGACAAATGAAACGTGTGCAGTCGAGAGACAAGAAGCGAGAGCAAAAAAAAAACACACAATCGAATACAGCACGCACACACAATGAATAAATACGATATTTTGAGCTAAGGAACAAAAAAGAACCGAAACGTTGGCTATACAGCGAAATGTGTTGCTGTAGCAAGCCGTCGCCGAGCAAACAGAAAGGGAGCAACAAAAAATCCATGCACAGCAACAACGTTGGTCGAACCATACCAACGAATAGGGAAAAAAAAAGTTCAACACAAACTTTGTAAGCATTTGGATATTTACATAGAAAACGGACGATAACACAGTCAACCGATGAGTATGTAAGCTTCAAAGCGCTACCAAGAGAAAAGAAAACAACAAAAAGTCTATGGCATAAAAACCGAGCATAGTTTTCAAATGGGATGAAAAAAAAGCACACGTGAAACGAACACTGCAAATGCAGACGAAACACACAAAACAAAAAACTCAAAATTCGATGAACGAAAATCGTTGTCAGCATCCGTGGAATATACGGAATATGGATTGCACACAAAGAGAAACAGAGTAAGAGAGGCTGAGAAAAAGCGCGTTTTTCCACAAAGAAGCACAAGTGACTCTCGGGTGAAATCTAACGCTAACATATACCGATGGAAAGAGAGAGAGAAAAAAAACTATCTGCTCATTTTGTTGTGCATCGCTCGTTCGTTCGTTCGGTTTTTTTCTTCGTGTTTTGTTTATTGTATGTGTTGTGTTTCCTCGTCGAATTTTTGCCGCCGGCACATTTTCATTGTCTGCATACTTTGTATGGTAAAAGCATCCAACGACAACGACGACAACGGCGGCATCCATTTATTTATAATATACAAAATAGACGGTACATACATATTGCGTTCGGTTCAGTAGCAATACTAATGGTTTAGTTTCTTTCATATGCAATTTAAAACAAACGATGAAAAACTAGGCTCAGGCCGACAGCCATTTTTATTCCAGTGCTGTGTGTATGACCGAACACCACACACAACGCAGAGTGTGGCAAATAGTTTTTATACACGTGCTTTCCATTCATCAAATCCAAAACATACACACAAAATACTAGCGCAGACTCCAGAATTGGCGTGCGAGCAAGCGAGAAGTGCGCCACGCCGTGCGTGCTCTGCAACATGAACATTTTCTGTTGATAGTGCCAACTTGATTTTATATACTATTTTGAACCGAATAGCAAATGAATGAGAAAGACCGTGATGGAGAGAGAGGGAGAGAGAAATGCATTTGACTTGCTCTTATATACACAAAATTCATTTGTGAGTGTGCAACGCTTCGGAGTTTGTTGTACTGTTTCATAGATCGATAAAAGCGAATGAGTCTCGAACGATGCGAACACAGAATGCCCGGCTATACAAAACAAAAAAAAACACATAAAATGCGGAATATGGTTTTTGTTTGATTTTTCTCGCATTTTATGTAATGCACAGAGGCGAGAACCATGTAGCACAATCGCGACGAATATCATATGGACTGGTGGTGTGTTGCCGGTGCCATCGTCGTTGTCTTCATTGTTGCTAGCTCATGTGTATATGCTGCGTATGCGGCTCGTGAATGCATGAGCATAAGCATAGAATTCATTACGTGCATACCGCTCCATCGGATAAATAATGACATAAGCGGACGATGTCGTACCGGCTTATTCATAAAAACAAGTGGAAAACACACACACACACACACACATCAAGCGGATGGGAAATTAGCCCAAGTTTGATCGACGCTTCTTTATTACTTTGTTGTTCTCTCGCTTTGAATCTATCACTCATTATGGCTAGCAAAGCACTTTATTTTCACGCCGGCCACAGCAATATTTTGAATACTTGATAATTATCATTTTGTTTTTGTTTCTTTCGCATAATATTTCAAAATTATCATGAATCGATTTGAGAGTCAATCAGCTAAACAGAAATTCGTCACTTTTGTTGAGAATGAGTAATTAGAATGGGTTTGGATTTGAATTTCATTTGAATAATTTGGACAAGAGACGAAGAGATTTGGACAAGAGACGAGAGAGGATGAATCAATCGAAATGGTAAAATATTCCAGTGATTAATTATTTTCCCATTGCATTGATGCGTATTTAATTTCAACTCTCGTACGGTTTTTTCTCTCCCTTCAAACTATTTGCCCAAATGATGATGGCAACCGCTGTGTTGGCATCTGTATATTAGTCGGAACCTGTCGCAATACATATGTTTCGGTGCGTAAATATCGAGCACCAACAAAATGGATTTCAATTCAACTGCAGAAATAATAAACAATTCCACGGGCCATGTTTGTTTCGCGGCAAAATGTACATATTATTTACCAGAGAAAGAGAGAGAGAGAGAGAGAGAGAGAGAGAGAGAGCGCGAAAAAAAAACTAAACATCGAAAAAACGCCGAAAATTATGAGCGGAAAAAAATGTTCATTTATTTCAATTGAAGTGGAGAGCGTAGAGAAAAAAAACGTCGACATTAATGATGCTGTGCGATCAATAGAAAGGCCAATATGAAGCTCATACAACGCATGTGTATAAATGGATTTGGATAAATTAGCTGCTCGAATTCTGTTTTTTTTAGAACTCACAAATGTTCTCGGTTTCATTCAAACTTTAACCAAGAGTTGAGAATGAATACTCGTCGAAAGTATTCGATACGAGGTTAGTCTGATGTGTTTTGTTTTCACAGTCATTTTCATCATTATAAACATCGGCGTATCATTATTACTAAAGAACTTTCTTGATATGCTTGAATTTGATTCAGTGTGCGGCGACAGCCGATATGATCAAACATTAACGATTTAGCCTCCTCATGAACATTGCTTTTGTTTCCTTTTTTTCCATAAAGAATGTTACGTAATAAATATACGAGTAGTTTTACTCCATTCATTTTGATATGTACGCAATACGATAAGTGATTTTCGTTTCTCTCCTAGTCCGCTTTCATTAGTGACTTCACTCTTTGTGTGTGGCGCAGTTCAATCGTTCACTGAGTTCTAAGTTGAAAAAAAAAAATCTATATCCGCGATGAAAGCATACAAATCATTAAAAAGACGAACAAACCAAATTTATTACTTTTTTGCATTTTTGTTTCGTTCTCTTTCATTCGCTCAATCGCTCGTTTTCCTCCTCTCACCCTGGCTCACTCTAGATGCTTCTGTCAAAAGAGTAAATTTGTTTTTTTATGGGTGGCTTTTTGAAGCACAGCATTTTCCATGGAATCAATTCTCTCGTTTGGCAAACGAGAAAGAGAGTTACTATGGAAATAGGTACTGAATGCAGTGAGAGAAAGAGCTATTGAACGAGAACTGATGTTATATACTCTGCTGGAAAAAAAAAGTGAACCAAACCCGACCGAACAAATGAACAGCAGAAAAAAAAAATTAACAGAAAAAAGCGAGAAAAAAAATGTAATTTATTAAAGTTTCTGTTTAAAAAAGAAATGTACATTGGGTACGCGCACGCTAAAAGAAAACGTCGCTGGTGGACGTTTAAAAAAGACCCACAATGAATCACTTTTCTATGCTGAATGCGGAGACAGAACGAAAATAATGTACTATTTTCGCCAAACGTTTTATGCATGCAGCCGAACACAAACACACACACAGAAAATGTTGAATAACACACGCTCTCCTTTCAACATTCGTTCTTCATCGTTCGCTTCTGTCTCTTTTTCTTCTTGCGCATTTAAACGAAAAACTCATTCGAAAATAATAATAAAATGCGATCTCCTTATCTTTTATGCAGACGAAAGTTTTTCGGTTGTTACTTTTTTTTTTCTTCGGCTCTTCTCTCCTTTTACCGCCTTTGCTACACTAGAACACGAATGAAAATGTTGTGTGTTTGTGCTGCGGTTCGGCAGGAAAGCAAAGTTTAATTGCAAAATTTCGGCGTTTGTGGGATAGAGAGCGCACGAAGGAGAAAGTAGCACAGAATTTCAGTTGCTGTGCGTTACCCAGCGTAAAACTTCTGAATGTTAGACGAAACAGGACATGAGATTCCGTCGAAATCACTAGCCAACAACACTACAAATCAAAACATTTCCAATAGAGAGACGGTCAGTGTTTTTTTTTCTCTCCAACTTGTGGTATGCAATATTAAGGATGCTTGCAGAAAAATATGATAAACACAAGACCACATCTCAACAAACCAACCGAAGAAGAAAAAAAGTTTGCCTTCATTCTTTCGTTGATTCTGCTGAGTTTTCTCTCTCTCTCTCTCTCTCTCTCTCTCTCTCTCTCCACCATAAGAAGCCAACACAAAATATGTCGATTCGTTAATTTTAAATTAAAAACGAAAACTTTTTTTCTTTACTTCATAAGGTTTACAAAAATTTCGGTAGCATAGGAACGAGAAAAAACAACACGAATGAATGGATGGAAGAAAATCTCTTTCGCGCGACACCGGCATAACATCGTGCTATGGAATTTATATTGAATTGCAAGTGGATGTGATAAAAACAACAACAACGACGACGACGACGACCACCAAATAAAGTTTCATTTCACGAACCTAAAGAATGAAAAATGCCAACAATTTCGATATTTTGACGAATAGTAGCAAACTCACACACTCAATGGCGGTATTGTATGCCCGGTTGGCGATATGATGACGATTGCGAGTGAAGTGAGAAAGAAAAAGTTTATTAGAAAGGAACTCTTTGAATTGCTATTCACGCTAAAAATCAACACCGTTCGGATGGAGTGTGTTTGCGCGTGTGTGTGTGTGTGTGCGCGGAGGCCGTTGCATTACATATTTATCATCACTCGTCTGAACATTCTTTAACAATTATAATTCAATCGCATTTTTTCGCTGTCGGTTGTTTATCAGAATCAATTTTGGAGTGTTTGTTGCTGCCTGCACTTTCTGCGGAATCCACGCAAACGAGTGACGAAAAGCGCTTGTAGAGAATCTTTCCATTATTTTCTTCTTTCGTTCGTTCGTCTGTTCATCAGCCAATTTTTGAGCGAAAATAATAAAATTTCGACGAAATATGACGATGATGGTGATGGATAGAGAAAAAATTCAAATAAAATGTGGAAATTAAGAAGCATTATTAAAACTCCGATCGAATGAGTCTTGAAGACGAACGCAAATTGTTCGGATATCAGTTGGATTCGGCGAAAAATAAAGTCATTTCCTTTAATTTCATTCAAAAAACGAAGCAGCAACAAATGACAGCGATACAACTGGCTATAAACACAGTGAGTTTTTCAGCACGCACTTGAAATGCTTGAAAAAAATTAGAGAGAGAGAGAGAGAGAGAGAGAGAGAGAGAACAAATAAAAAATAAATTGTAGAAGCAATTCTTAGCCGAGATATTGATAGATGTGCATTGTATACGAATAAATGTACGCTTAGGGTCTCTCTTTCACATCTCATGGAATATATCGAATACATAATAAAGCGCATTTCTTGCCCGTCTACACCAATACCAAAACCATAATTATACACAGAGAGACAGAGCGAGAGAGAGAGAGAGCGAGAGCTGAAATGGTTTTTCTAAATTGACGTCGCACGAACACAACAATTGAATGGTAAAAAGTTTCCTCGTCGAAGAAGCATCGTCGTCATCGTCGCATTTGGTGGTGCTTCGCTTGCTCTTGCTCATTCTCTATCGCAATGCAACACAAGATGTGAAGAAAATGCTGCTTCTGTTGCTGCCTCGCCGTATTATACAAAGTTATATGGTGCAAAGCACATGCAGAAAAACGCTTACACACATCTTCATTCAAGTAGCGCCAAGTTTTTATCCACGGAAAACGGCTCACGTTGAAAAAGTGGTTCGTCAAAACGGCCAACAGAGGCGAAGAAAACGAAAAAGAAGAAGAAGATGCACGATGGAAATGAACGAGAAACCGAAGAGACAGAGAGCGAAACGAAAAAAAAGTGGCAAAACGTAGCAAACACATGAGAGTACAAATGGCTAACAAGAAACCAGAATTCCAATAAGAAAACCAAAATGCTACTGCTTTTGCTTGTGCTGCTGCTGCCACCGCTGCTGTTGCCGATGATGATGATGATGATGAAACAATGATAAAAATATAGAGAGAAAAAGTGGTAGCTCAAATGATAGCTTGAAAAACAAATCTCGCGCGCGCACTCAAGTTGAAATAGCGTCATGTATATGACACAGCTAAAGCAGTAGCAACAAAGTAATGAAACGGAATTTCAATACATTCGGCGTACGAAGGAAAAATCATGAGGCAAATGTGGTCAAATCATTTCAATTTGGAAATCTGATGCGCTTTCCTATCTCTTCTTCACATATATAATGTGTTGGTGATGTGCTATCCAAAAATGCCAAGTAAATACCGAACTTAATTGGGAGATTGAACAGACAAGTGCTTGTTTTTGGTCGTGAACCACCGCCACCACCATAAATGAGCTGCTGATTACTTTTGTATGACTTTTAACATACGAACATTTTTGTGTTTTTTTTTTCATCCGGCTTTTATTCTCTTACCTTACAAATAATTGTTCTTGGTTGTTGACACGCCATGACACAACTGTGGCTCCTGCAATTAGAATAATTTTCAAAATCAGTCAAAATGTTTCATAATATACTTTCTCAATTCAATGTATTTATTTCTTTCTAATCGGAATATGTTTGTCCTCCAATTGAAAGTAGAAAAAAAAACCTAGTAGTAGTTGTTTATATATTGGCGCATATCAATAAACTGATAAACCAGTTCAAATAGAATACGTTAGATGTATGTGCGATGTGCGTTAATCATTTTTGTCACAAAGAGCAAAGAAGTCAAAAACCGATTTCGTTAACAGAAACAAATGAAGGCAACTATACTATTTTTTCCAGCGACTTATCGACCCAAAAACTCTTTTTTTATTCAACTTAACCCCGCATGGTAATCGTAGTGTCGGTGAATGTTTAGTATCTGTATTTTTGTGTTGGGTTATTTTTTTTTCCCTGATGTCATTCTCAATGGAGTCATTAACATTTTTGTATATGAATATGTATAGAAATCGGATTAGAAAGCAATTCCATTATGTTTTGTGTCCGTGTTTTAAAAACCATGGGAAAAACATGAAGTGTCATGAAACGATAAGAATATCATAAACGGTCAAGTCTTGCGCGACATTTTTGGAAGCAAAAAATTATCTTTCAAAACTGTAGTTTATAAACATTTTTCATAACCGATAACAAAGGTTCGATTCATCAAGAATATTAAAATCAATGATATGAGTGAAAGAACAGAGCTTGGCATAGACACCAAACAAATTATCACCGAAAATATATCAACTATTATTAACTTAATGTGATAGTTGAGTATCAATACGAAGACAAAAAAGAACTCCCTATCTTGCACTCAGAGCCAAACTTTCGCGATTTTAATCGTCTAACAGTACAAAATTTCGGGTAAAAGGAACGAACGTTTAAATAAATGTGTGTCAATTTGATAGCTAATCGCTTCGTATTCAATAACATTTTTACTTCCCATGCTAAATTCTCGTTATTTCTTTTTCTTCAAACTCATTTTTTGCGCCGTCGCAAAAAAAAAAGGCAGAAATAGATAGTGGATATTATAAAAAAAGGAGCTGTGAATGGTAACAACAATTTTATGATACTTCAGAACCAGTTCTTGTGTGCTGTGTATTTCGGTTGTGTCTTTGATCGGTTGACTGAATGTTTGAGTTATTTTAAAATGCAATGAGCAATGGACGAATGGACAATGGACATTTGATCTTCGGTCGTTTTGATAATAAATCGATTGGAATGAGGTAAATTTGTCGAGTGAGTTACTAAATTTGTCATTTTATTTGTTAACGTGTTATTCATAATCATGCAATAAATCATCATCAGTGAGTTGATAGCGAAGCATGGTGAGGGTTAATATTTGTGCAAATAAAGATGCAAGCCGCTTCGATAACAGAATGTACGATTATTACGGGGTACAATAAACATACGTTGTGCGCATCAATATGACCCATATAAAAAGATCACTTAGCGAAATCAAAATGAAAAACAAAATAAAAAATTCATTGTGGCGCTTGAAGTCACTTCAAATTGCGTATATTCGAGTGCTACTTGCGGCGTTTCTGAGAGAGGGAACTATAAACAAAAATCGTTCGTATTGATGATAACAAACAATGCAAAAGTGTTTGAATGGCCGATTCAACCGAATTGAGTTCGAAGATTAACAATGCACAAGTGGTATTTAGCGGAATTGGTATTTTGGTAATCCACATCACTTGAATTCGGAGTATTATCATTTCCAATATGGAAACGAATCAGAGATTGCGCGTATTTTCGGATGATAGAACACCGAAATATCAATTTAATCATTCAGATGGTTGCTGATTGCGATTTTTTTTCTGTCCGTGTGTGTGTGTCTTTGTTTCATTTGTTGTTGTTGTTGTTGTTGGTTGATAATTTGTTTGACATTGACCAAAGTTTCATTAACGTTACCGCTAACCATTTTGTTTTAAGTAGACAAACAGGGTAGAGGAAACAAAGCACAAGACAGCACTGAACAAACGAGCAAAATCGAATTCGCTTAACTTAAAATATTATTAGCTAAAAATCGTCTTAATCGAGCACAGAAGAATAATTGTTGGCTGGTATATCTCTATGCGAGTGTGGAAAAAAAAAACAATACTTGTATTTAGTATACTGTAGCAGTGGCAAACGCTCGCAAGAATAATGTATGAATTCGTGTTTATCGTTGTCGTCGACAACCGCTTTTTTTGCACATAGATAAATCTAATCGTGCAAAAAAAAAAAACCGGCAGTGTCATTACAGTTGACGAGTACAATTTAAATATGAACATCGCACACATAGCCATCGATGCTGTTGCTGTTGCTGCTGTTGCTGTTGCTGTTGCCGTCGTCATCAAATAAAGAGAACGAGAGCGCAACAACTCCACTTGCGCGTCCGTCAACAAAAACAAACCAAATAATACATAGAATTTGGTACTGTCTCAATGAGCGACTAGTACATATATCCAGTGCTAGTGTCTCATACAGCAATTTCGTTTGCATATACTACTTTTTTTTTTCGCTCGAGCCAAGCTTCATATACACCTATATATGCTTACATACATTATATCTGCCGCATTTATCTATCTATAACACAGGCTATGTCATTAAAATAATGCTTATTGAAATGAAAATGTAGTGCATATACGAGAAAAAAAAAACAACCATTGCATTCGAGAATTTGAAATCGGCAATCGTCTGGCCCACCGTCGCTGCTGCTGTCGTGTGTAGTTTTTCATCGTGTTTATTTGGATTTTCCTTTCATTTTATACACACCATTCGATTAGTGCAATTCACGAATATTGTGCAAGCACATGCAGTACCAGTGTAGCGGCAGCCAGACACTTGCTTTACACATATCATGCATTTAATCGGTCGCGAGCGCGCGTGACTATTCTATGCGGTGTTATTTTGAATCCAAATAATAAAAATGACTTTGTATGGCGAAAATAAAGTTGAATTTTGAGCGAACACACAAAAAAAAAATGTGGCAGCACGGCTATGAAAGTCGCAGTAATCGCACACCAAACAAAATATAGTCGGTGTTCTATACCCGTGAATCGGAAGTTATCGGACGCGTCAACAGTGAATTTGAATACGAATCGCAGTGAATGTATTAATGCAAATGAAAAAAATACCAATTATGCTTACCGTGTAAGTTGATTGAATGTTTAAGTGACTACAGGCTACAAGATTCTATATGGTTGACGGTTTCATTCAAATCAATGATTTTACCACTTTCGATGCCATTGCTAGCGATTTTTGTGCAAATTCCGACTATTTCGATCATTTCTTACAATTAATATCAACTGTCCGTAACAGTTTATATAAACTCCACCACCACCAGGTTGGGGTTTTTAGTCGAAATATTATGAAGAAAAATTTTACTTTGGAAAATTGTGCAGGAGAAATATTTTGGTTCAACGGATTGACCAGAATTTCGGATTGACACACAAAACACGCGGCGGCGGCAACAGTAACCGCATTCAATGTGCAAAATACAGTTTCGCTTACCGTGTAAGTTGATTGTAGCCGTAGTATTATTTCCTCGATCAAGCAATACAACACTTGTAGCCGCTGCCATTGCCACTCTATTCCCTTTTCTGCTTGGTTGGAATTCCGATTTACACTCAAACACCGAAATTTATCAAAAAAAAAAAAAAAAAAAACGCTCAGGCGACAACCACAATTGCAAACAATTATTCGAAACGATTAAAATTGATTTTATTATTAAATTATATTCTAAAATTCAAGTCCAACACTAATAAATTTCAATTTTCAATGTTGATTAGCATTTATTTTTTTATTCTCTGGTAGAGCAGAAACTAAATACGAAGTAGTTAGACGAAAAGACGTCTGCATTAGGTGACGGGCGTTTTGAAACTGTGCTTATGCGATTTGCCTCACTTTACTTTCAGTTCTGCTCAATCTGAAAGATAAAAACTTCATCGGCAAAAGCCGAACCACGAAGTTTTTTTGTTATGACTTTTGATGCGAAATTAAAAAACCGCCTGAGTACGTTTTCGGTTGTCATTTGTGTCGTCGTTCTAATAAGCTTTGCCGCATTGAACGCATACATTTTCAGAAATGTCAAGCGGTGAACTTCAGTTTGACTCTGATAGGATTTCGTTATCTATAGTGGAAAAATGTATTTGAGAGAAAAAAAGATTGGTTTCAAATGGTAAACAACTTTTGGAGAAAAAAAATTCCGAATTTTAGTTGAATAAAATTGTGAATTTGCTGCTAAATTGGAAATAGAATAAAATTTGTGTTGCAACAAAATAGAAAACGAAAACCTACTGTATGGAAAACCTTATAACAGCTCCAATAGTCATTCCAATACAGACGGTGTGTGTGTCAAAGTAAACAAACACAGTGATTGTCCGTATGTGCGTGTGTTTCAGCTGTCAAAACATCACACGGGTCAAAGTATATCTGCTAGTACGTCTAGCGCTATGATTGCGTTTCTCATTCCAAATCAATTTGTGTTGTGATAACAGTTTTATAATTAGGTGTCTTTTCAATAATGTCGCAGTCATTGAAGCAGCTCTGGAAACACTCGTCGAGCTTAATCATTTTGGGGAAAAGTGCCGAAGCGACAAAAATCAGTAATTTTAATTACAAGGTACGTCGAAAATTCACCACAAATTATACGCACACATATAGAAATGCCATTAATTTCACTTTTCTTTTTGAATTAATTTAAAGGTGCTTGTACTTGAACGTCCTTCAAAAGCATCGTATCCAGGAGCGTTGGTGTTTCCGGGTGGAGTTGCTGAACAGAGTGATCAAGTTGAAGATTGGTTGAAATTTTACCGCAAATTCGGAATCGATGACACAAAATTCACATCAATTTTTAAAAAATGTTCAAACCGTTCGTTCATTTTCAACCACGACAGCAGCAACATCATCAATCGGTGAGCGAACAAACTCGATCCATTACATTAGAAATGCATTTCTTTTTATTGACACTAAACAATATTGTTATTGTTATTTAATGACCCAAAACTGTGCACTTTTCAGAGATATTTCGCTTCGTATCACGGCTATTAGAGAAACATTCGAAGAACTCGGTGTTCTTATTTGTAAAAATAAAGAACAGTTAAATGATTCGAGTTTATTTTCGAATTTATCAAATAATTTCGACGTTGCCTTCTGGCAGAAGCAGGTAAATTATTGTCCACTAATTAGTTTTTTTCTCTCTCTCTTCAATTGTCATTTGAATGGAGTATACTTTTGCGAAATACAATTACGAGAAACACCTTTATTGAATAGGTTTACAAAGATGCATCGAATTTCTTGAAATTATGTGAAGAATTGAATGTAGTGCCTGACCTTTGGAGTTTGCATGAGTGGTCCGTTTGGTTAACACCGACTTTTAAACGTCAAAAAAGGTAGGAGATTGTTTTCCACAGATTTCTGCTTCAGCTCTGATTTTAAACCACTTTCATTTGTGATCGAAGGTTCGAAACAGTATTTTATTTGGTCGGTGTGAAAGAACAGCCAAACATTCAAGTGACAAATGACGAGGTGCAGCGATCGCTGGTAATTTATTGCACAATAAAATCTAAGAATATTTTTTATTCGTATCAAAATATCTGAAATTAATTTTAATTCAATCATTTGGTTTCTGTAGTGGCTAACACCAAAGGAACTTCTTGACTATAACAAATCCGGTGAGAATTGGTTGCCTCCACCACAACTATACGAATCATCACGATTAAACAACGAACCAAATATTGACAAAATCGTACCATTCGCAAGAGAACGCGGCATGAATGCACCGACAACACTTATATTCCCAATGCATTATCACACAAAAGATGGCATCATTCATTGCTACCCTGGTGACGATTTTTATCCAAAGAATCCTAATTATATGGCCACCGAACATGATCTGGAACAGTATGCAGAAAAAACATGTGACGAATGCCGAAAAATGGCCGAAAATCTGCATCGCATTGAACTGAAATCGTTACAAAATGTTCAAATTTGGCAAAATGTCAAACTACCTGATAACCATCTTAGTCCACAAACAACTCCAGAATCAAAACTATGAAAACAAAATCGATGTACGATAGTTGATTTAATATTTAACGAAAGCACACACAATTATCGCAAACATATCGAATTGACGAATAGCAACATACAAACAATGTGTTGCTAGCATATTTTGCACAAACATTTTTTATCGCCCGATCAAATTTGGATAACGTTTTATCGTTAATTTTTACAACATAGAAATGCTTTATATCGTAGATATGATTGTTTATTATCTGTTACTATATATATTTTTGTTGTTTTTGTTGAAACAAGTGAAATAAATTTTTCAGCGATTTTATTTTGTAAAGTACACAGTTTGAATTTTGAACGTATGAATGCGTAACTTATTTCAAGCCATTTGCTATCAATTGTAATAATTTATTTTATAATCAATGATTAAGTAAAAAGGTAAGCCCATAAAAAAATTTCTACCCGAACAACCGTCACTTTGAATGGTTGCGATATTTTTTTTCTTCACTACAACAATTTATTTGATATTCGATTTGATTGCAACCAATAGCTCGGAAGCCGTTTATTGGTCTCAATTTCCACAATTGTCTTTGAACGTTAAAACTGCGATTGCAAAACGAAGGCGTCACACATTTCCACCAGCACAAATCAACCAACTCATTTCAAATACCATTAAATGCTGTACTTCATGTAGTAGAGGAAGCGCTGTGTAACATAGAACAAGACACACTGCACTTCTTCGTCGATGTAGGAGAGGGAGAAAGAACGTTGAATGAGTATGGTAAAAAAGCAAAAAGCCAAAGGGTAAGTACAAAGAAATAAATGTCGATGGAAAATTGGTGGATCTAGGAAAGACAGCATTGGTACATGTTATACGTGCTTCGATTGATAAAGTGGCCGCTCATCACTCACTTTCGTCCTTCGTCTCGCTTTTCGTTACTTAATCAAATTTACGAGGAACATGAAATAGTGCAAAATCGATCTAGTCGATTTCTGGCATCGAACAATTTGTACTATGATATGAGTGTTAGCCATTATATTTCTCTTCGACATTTTTTTCTGTTATTATTCTAACAATTGCAATGCAATTGCGTTCTATCTTTTGAATTTTTAAACGACTTTATTTCTGAAATCAGAATATATTTCTCGCCTAGCATATAATAGGCGGGTACAGTCTTTTTTTTTTGTCCCATCAAACGTTCTTCATTTCTGTTCCGGCAACATTGAATAAAGTGTTTTTTGAGTCGAGAGAGGGTATGAATGCAGATATAGGCTGTTGATAACATCAAATTTAAAATTGAGACAAAACTTACAACAAAAAATCTCGCGAATAACAATGTCATGTGAAAAAATTTGAAATATTATTGTATTTTTATACAAAGGAATGGGGGAAGTTATCTATGATAATGGTCGTATTGTTTGCCTGTGTTCTATCATGATGAAGAACATGTTCGTTTCAAGATAAAAGACGCCATGCAGAAAATAAACTACATCTGTTTTCGAAGATCTGTTTTTTTTTTTTTTGTAAGCACATTAGCATTAAGATCAGGGTGAAGCATGCATAGAACGTGATGTTGTTAAAAATAGTTCCGTCAGTATTCTACCTATGACCGAGTGAATTTTTGTATCACACAGATAAGCGAACCATTGTCCGAAAAGGATGATGACCAAATAGGTTGGCTCATATTGCCAACTTGTTTGAACAGGTCTCTCATTCAATTTATGGTTGGTGTTTACAACGAATTAAAATGCAAATTAGTTTGTAATTTTAATATTTTCGAAATAAGTACGATGAAATTGTGTATATATACACACATCCTGTTTTTTTCATTCGTCGGTAATATGTGCACACGTTCAACGTTTACATGGATGCTATGGAAATGAGATGAGGAGAACGAAAAAAAAGAGAACACATATTTGTTTAGTTTTCGATTGTTTATGTAGATTCATCCGACCGATATTTATACCAAATATTTGCGTGTAAAAATGTGTGTAGCGATGAAACAACACACCAAAAGAACACCAATTAAAATAAATAATAATCAAAATGTAGTGTTTCTAATTAAAAGGGGTGGTTTTAAAATGAATTCGGTTAAATGAAAAAAGATTTTGCATGGAATGCGATAGGGCATACAGAGTTTTGTTTTTTCTTTTACAGTAGCTCTGACATAGAGAGTCGCAGAGCGTTTTTTTTTTAGAACAAAGTGTTCGTTCGAGAGACACAGAAAAAAACGTGAGCCACACTACAAACAAGCACAAGATGTTTCATTTTGAAACAAGAGTAACTCTCTATCAATGCTCTTGATATACAAAAAAGACAACCGTTAGCTTTGAGAGTGAGAAAAAAATCCGAGCATTGAAAAGATGCTCTTGAAAAGTAAAAATTCGTGTCTTATCCTTCTAAACCGAGCACCTTCATCGAGTTGAATGAGAGCTTGGTAGCCTTGTCGTTGAGTGCAATACCATTCAATTCAATTCAGCTCAATGAACAAAAAGCGGATCAATACATTGAAGCCGCACAGCACAGCAAGCGAAAATTTATTTACAGTTAAATGATCATTTGAATTAACCATCCAACAAATTAAAAGTCCATTAAAGTTAAACCAAAACCAAAAGTCATGCGATTGTGTGCCGTTTTGTTGGCACATTATTGCAGTAGCATGTTTGAATTGGTAATTGTCATTGAATTAAGCCCGAAAAACCGCACACCGATTTTCATGAATGAACAAACCAATTGCCGATGACTGATGTTGCCTGTTATTTAATTCAATTCAAGAGGGTGATGCAAATTATAAACGTGTCTATTATGATGTTTATTGTTATTCATGGTGCGTTGTTCTATCGACTAACCTTCAGAAGGGGGCGAATACGCATACATCGCATCACAAGTGTATCAGTGATGCGCTTTGATTTGAACCCGCACGTTATTTGCAATTTCGTCGACATCACCCTCGAAATTTAGTCATGCCGACCGACGGAGTAACGGAGGCAAAAACCTTCTACCTGCTATTCCATTTGACGAATAGCAAATCATTACGTTGACTCTACCACTTCAGTATGCAAGACAACATTGCAAATTATATCGGCGACAAAATCTTTAGCGTTCAATTGTTTTGCAATCATCTACACCGTTCGTGCATTTTACAGTCGGCGCATTGGTGGAGTCTCATGAATTCCACGAATCAGACAGTTTACTGCCTGAATACGTTTATTCTATATCTACATACAGTGGCTACACAGAGATGGGCGAGCATATTTTCACTTCATACAATGTATCAAATTGTTTATAATTCATTTAATCGTTAAAATCAATTCAATGAAAACTCAAAATATCCCTGAGTAACAACCATATGCCTTTCAATAAACAATAAATATAATTTTTCGAAGAACGAAAAAAATGCAAATTCAGTATACATTCCTTGTTGATATCTTCATACTCACACTCATGTTATTTATATAACGCGCGTTCAAATTTTATCACATTTTGCACAGTCCACGCAATTCAGTTAAAACTGCGGTTTTTGTTGAGAAGCAGGAAGGAATCGTTCATTTGAAACATAATCGATTAAATAAGATTCAGTGCATTGTTTATATCGGAATCAACATGGGACACAACACGTCACAGGCGTATATAACGGTATACGTGTGTTCATCTTGCCGAAGTGTGCTATTTCTCCGGCCTAATTCACTTTTTTGTCCATACTGTAATGGGCGATTAGAAGCCACCTCGTTTCAAGTAGGAAAACAAAAAAACAAACCTAATTGAAACAACGAACTTATTTTGAATCATTCGTCTTAATTTATATATCGTTCTTATGAATTCTAGGCGCCCAACAATCGAAATTTCAGCTCCCGACCCATTTGAATACTCTCGATGACATCTCTCACGCATACTTGACCGTCAAATCATCAATTCAATAAGAAAAAGGTGCATATAATAATCAACACGAAAAGGAATGTCATTGAAATGAAATAAAAATGGTCAAAACTTAATCAACTCATGTGCAAATGTATTGTTCTTATTTATAAATTACAATGTTGCATCTTATCTTTTTGACTTTATTGAGACTGTGTGTATTGACAGAAGTATGTTTACAATGTTTTCATCATCGATTTCTTCACTTTGTTTAATTGGATTTTCTGAATACTGATTGAAAAATATAAATATTAATGTGTTCGTGTTTGCCTAACGGTTTGAAACACACGAAAAAATTGCGCGATCATTTCGTATAAATATTCCCACTACCAATCTTGAATTTATTATACCCAATACCAATCTACCATTCAAAGTCTGCTGTGTAGTTGATCAATCACGATCAATTCTTTGATAGTTCGCTGAAAATTCAAACAGAATCGTCGCAATCCATTCAAAGTCCCGAAAAAGTTTCGAAACCATCATGAACAGCGAAAAGTCAAAATCAAGGCCAAAAGAGAAGAAAATCAACTATGCATACTTGACGAATTACGAGTGTAAAGTCTGTAACCAGCGAATTATAACGATGCAGCCGGCCAATCCGTTCTACACCTGTCGATTGTGTGTTAAGCCCATGGAAATCATTTACCATAAAGTAAAAGAACGATTAACCAAACGAAAAAAACTCTCTTTTTTTCAAATCGAAATTCATTTTTATTTCCAGGACCTCACACGATATGATAATTAACAGCCAAAGTTCCAAAGATTGTGAAAACATTGTATTCTGTTTACCATTCTGAAGATAAATTCGAGAAACGAAAATCGCACGAACCATTGACCATTGATTTTTGAAACTGTTTACTTGATTGTTGTTTGCAATAAAGAGAAATAAAGTGGAACCGATTAATTGACAAACTGTTTCAATCTTTTCATGTGTATAAAATGATTTCCGAAAAATGATCGATCATTTCAGCTTAGAGCCAGTACGACAGCAGTTCCTTTTTCATTTATAAAAAATAAAATTTTCATTATTTATAGAAATTCGTGGTGCTTTCTCAATTTGCTGTGGTGCTTTACTTGTTGCAATCATGGGAAATGCGAACAGCATGGCACAGAACCATGTTACGATCTATAGATGTTCCGCGTGCAGAAATACCGATGTACGACTCGTCCGACCGTATGCATACATTCGATGCCCGAGATGCAACGAATGGATGGACATGTTCCCAGGATGGGTAAAAGACATTTTCATTCTGAACCAATCTTAATTTAATCAAATATTTCGATTAATTTTTCAGGCTGAAACAGTAAGATCGACTTAAACCTGAGGCTGTTCATCATATATCAATTCACATTTTCATCATTCAATTGAAATAAAATCACTTGTTTGCCGGTTATGATCAAATCTGTGTCAAAACAAAATGATGAATAAATTCCAAGATTTTTCTTAAAATGAAAATCAAATTAAGATTGCGTTTAAAATTGATTTTACCGGTTTATCAAAGAAAACGATTTGTAGGTTTTATATCATGAGTTTAGGTGACCACACATTGAAATTCTCAAATGATCGCCATAGAATAGTAAATCATTTCAATTTCCTAAAGTGACATGAAGACTTTCCAATATGTAATGTATTTTAACAATTCAACGCTCTCTTTTTCTTCTTATTGGAGTGAATTTTTCTTTGTTGAAATCATTCAATCTGATCGGAATGAATAGTTATTGTCATCGTCTTCATTCATTACTTTCTTTATCAATATTTGGCGAGTGATTTTTTAAATTCAGTTTTGTTTATAAGATATCCATTTTTGCAAGCAAACGGAATATTGATGAAAGATAAACATAGTGCGAAAGCATTTTTCGTACTTTCCACGTACATAGTGCATGCAGGCTTTGTTATGCGCTAAATCCATCACGCTGAATAAATTCATGCGATAGATTTATGCGATAAATGTGATGCGCTCGCTTTGCGGTGAACGAGGTATGTTTCTCTTCACTACCGCTTAGCGATGCCATTCACTGCAAAGCATGAACGTTCATGCGTGAACAACTGAATAGCAACAGACTTCGTTCACCGCAAAGCGAGCGCATCACATTTATCGCATAAATCTATCGCATGAATTTATTCAGCGTGATGGATTTAGCGCATAACAAAGCCTGAGTGAATGTACTCTAAAAATTAATTCAACTGAATTTCGCTTCAGTCAATTCTTGACGATCAATCGATTCTCAACTCTTTTTCACTACACACACGCTTCATAGTCATGGTGCCAGTGGGTTTTGTAACGGTTTACACTTGTCCAAGATGTCAAGCAATACTTGTAACGACGAATCGAGCTGAACCATTTTTTCGTTGCCCGCGCTGTCAAGGACCAGCACAACTTTATTCGGCACAGGTGAAGGTTATTTTATCTACGATTCATTTCAAACGTTAATGTCGAATTTTTGATTTAGATCGTTCACTCGCAGCTGTAGAAATGAAGACAAGCAAATCACGATGAGCAAACTGCGGTTGACCCCATATCCATTTCAAAATCATCAATGTTTTGAACAAAAAATCAAATAAAATTGCTAGAAAAACTCAGGAAAATGTCGATGTTGTCATTTATTTTCTTTTTTCTTTGTGAAAATTTTTCTTGAAGATTTTGTGAATAGCAGAAAACCAACTCACATAACTTATGAGAGAGTCAATCTGAATGTTTTAGACGAAGGGATAAATTATTTCAAAAAGGACTTTGAATAAAGTCCAATAATTTTTCAGGATATCTAGAATTGGGAATTCTATTGAATATTGGCTTTATAGGTATTTCATCCATTTTTTCCAACATTTCTTCGAAAAATCAATACGAAATTCTTTTATAGTTTTTTTTTTATTTTTAAAGCGATGTGGACAATTTTGAATATAAAGAGATAAGGTAATGTAAATGCTTTTCCACTTTCCATATTCGAATTGAATGCAATCATTTTTTTTTCTACCATGATCATATCCTTCCTTTATAAATATTTAGTGAATAAATACAAACACAAACAAAATTTTTCCCAGCTAACGGAATAATACTATCAAAATCAATTGAGAAACAAACATAATACGAAAACATTTTTTATATTTACCACGTACGCACAATGTACTTTGAAAAATGAAGTCAACTGAATTTCGCTACAGTCAATTTTTGACGATCAATCGATTTAGAACTCGTATTTTTTACTGGACACACTTTTCAGAATCAGGATGCCAGCGGGTTTTGTAACAGCTTACACATGTGACAGATGCAAACAAGTACACATAACGTTTTGTCCAGCCGATTCAGACTTTCGTTGCCCGCTTTGCCGAGGACCAGTGAACATTGATGAAAAGGTAAAAATCATCTAATGTTTGTTTTTGAATTTTTATTCACGATTTTTGATTTCCTTTATAGGTTATTGGCCCCGAGTAATGAAACAAGGACAAACAAATGATGCATACTATGATGCAGTTACGTCATGTGATATGATTCATGTCCATTTCAATGTCACAGATATTTTGACAGAAAAATTAAATAAATTCCCACAGAAAAACTCTGGGTAAATATTCGATGTTGTTATTCATTTTCCTTTTTTTTTCGTGAGCAGTGAATAAATCTGGTGAATGTGAGAACAAAATGTTAGAAGATGTAAGTATACTGAAAACCATATAATTCTTCATGGCTACAACCGAGCCCATCTCTGATACATGCTTTACAAATCTATGAAATTGTTGTATTTTTCGCGATAATTCATGCAAACCAAAAGTGAATCCAAGCGATGCTCTCCGCACAAAAAATGTACACGAGTGATGAATAAAAAGGAGCATTTTTTCAACACTCAAATGCGATTTGCAAATATCGTAGACAAGGCGAGTGTCTCATCAAACGGTAAATACGCGAAAAATAAATAAGATTGAATTTGATGGTAAAGTGATTCTAAGCGATTGTTGCCCCTCGCTTTTTTGTTTGTGTTAAATCATACACACATAATTTCATTTGAGTTTTCAATGTCGATGTGATGCTGGTTTGCTGACTGAGGTAGCGGTTCATTAAATCAGAGTTGAGCATTTCGCTGGTGATTTGTGTAAATTGATATATGTGTAAAAAAAAATGCATGCGGTTACATAACAATACTGCGATTACTACTACGTTCAATGTTTAAACATGTAAATGATGCTATGGTTTCTCGTTGTACATTTGTTTACAGCAATTCACTTGACATGATATTGATTTTTCCCATTTTTGAGCATTGATCTCATTTGTTCGCTGCTCATTCAATTACCGAGCAATCGAAGCGCCACAAATTCGCAGTATGTGTTTATTTGTTCTGTCTCGATGATATGGAAAACACAGTCGCATCGGGGGAGTTTTTTTCTTTCATTCTAATACATGTTTTGTATAGACTTTATTCATCGAACATCTAAACTCTCAACTTTCATTCAACAAAGACAAGGGTAAAATTTACGATGCGATTGATAAAACAAAAGTTTTCCAATATTGATCAATCGAGAGCGTTAAATACGAGCTAAAAATGTGAGTTTTATAGTTTGGAAATTAAACACACCAATTATGTGACGCATTATTATCAGTGTGTGTGTGTGTGTCGCGACATACATAAAAATTAGCAGTGGAAAAAAGAAGTTTGTGTTTAGTTTTATTTGTCGTTTTTATCGGTACATACGATAAATGCGTGTGCTTTCATGTGTAGTCTTTTCCCGTTGTTGACGGCCGCCAAACCTTTCTATTGTTCCGAGCATGTTTCGCGTTTCAACGTTTTTATGCTCTGCTTATCGAGAAAATCAAGGAATCAGATGTTATGTGCGAAGAACGAGCGAATCGATTTTCTCTCTCTCTCTCTCTCTCTATCTCTCTTTCTCTCGATCCTAATATCGATTGGTTACAACTTTTCGGTGGCATTTCCGATCTGGTGCTGAATAAATTTTCTTAAGAATTTATTATTTGTGCATTGAATGGCGCGAGAGCGGGCGCTTGTAGAGAAGAGGAGCGCCGCATTTGCGATGCTCCGATTTAATAGTTACACGAATTTCGAACAAATTGGTTACACGAAAATGATGCGCGCCAGAGATAGAGAATGTTGGAAGAGACAACGAGATGCAATTTCTATGGAATCGACGTGAATTGGTTTGATTATCGATAGGATTGAGAACATATACTCGACGAGAGCGAGAGATACATTGATATGCGCCGCACCATCACCAACAACCCACTGCACTCATAGCGTGTCAGCCAGCATCGTACGCTGCCACGATATGAGGGTAGTTTTTTTTTTATTACTTTCACGAATGGCATAGTAAAATTGTTCGACATAAATAGGAGTAACTGGATAAAGGCGGTTCCCATACATTTTGAGCTGTACGTAGGACGCTACACACATAGTGACTCTATTAAACCTTCGTTTCGGGCGATATGCCTTGGTGTAGGGCAACGAGAATCGGTGCTCGGTGTTTTTGGTTCAGAGCGAACGCATGAAAAAATCGGGACAGGAAGAAGAGAAGCAAAGACAGAACGAGAAAGAAAGAAAAACATCACCGTATGCCAAACAATTTGTATTATTCGCTGTATTGAGATGTTACCGTTCCGCATTTATCTGTTACAATTTATTTCACAAAATGTTCGACAAAACAAATTGGATGCGATCAACTAAATCGAAACAAAAACTCCCCAATCGAAAACAGATATTGTGTGTCTATGGCTGTGGCAATCCAGTGAATACAATACCCAATTTCACTTGCTGTTCATTATTATCTCATGGTTTTGACTCTGGCCACACAACTTTCTTTTCGAGGTTTATTTTCGATGCTTCTTATGAAAATAAGTAAGTCGTTAATGCACAACTAACGTTCCGGGATTAAGGTATGGCCAAACATACCGAAATGTATATTAAAACGTTTACATGCATCAACAGTTTTGAACACCGGTGAAAGGGTTGAATTTCAGAACAAAACACTTACCGCAGTACCACGATGCTCTTTTGATATCAAAAGTCACCATAAATTCGCATTTAAAATAAGTTTATCCTTGGCAAACGGGAAAATAATGGCGATATCTTATTCAATTTGACAACATTATTTGCCATCTTATCGCAAAAGTCAAGAGTCAAGATCCAACAAATTAAACGTAACAATTAATTAAATCTGCTGACCTTTTCGATGCATGCAAACAACTTGAAAATTTTCTTGGAAAACTCACTTTCACTACTCCATTTTATTTACTTAAACCCTTTTTTCATCCATATTTATGCTGAAAAGTCTTGAAATTTGCCGTGCGAAATTTGTTTACCTCTGTGAATAAATATTCGGTAAATAAAGTGTACTGACTGGCAGATAATAAGCAATTGCATGAAGTTTATGAACAACGAGCGCAGGAATATAATTTTTGCTAATATTTATGTTATTGTAA